ACTTTGTGGGTTTGTAACGTGTCCAAAACAAATTTGAGAAAATTTTCGACTATCTATCGTGAAAGCTTGATACTTTCCCTACAAAATCGTTTTTTTTTTAAATATTCCTACGATTTTTAGTTACTGAGTAATCGCGAATTAAATAAAAGGATTATTTTGACTTTAATTGCTCATAATTCCGTTAAAAATTGTCGTATCGCAATTTAAAAAAGAGATTCTTAAAGCTGAAACTTTACTCTATCAAGATATATTTATATTGGTTGGTAAGAAAGTAATTGCAGTTTTTATTGATAGATGCCTTTTAAAAAAACGCAATTACTTATCAACTCAATATATACACACACACACACACACACACACACACACACACACACACACACACACGTATACATATTGATGCTGATTTTTAAAATACATACAGTGAGAGCAAAAAGTATTCGTACAAGGAAATTTGTAGAAAATAAATTAATTAGCAATTTTATACAATAAATACATTCTATTCTACATAAACAAATGAATTTCGCATGTATATATGCCTAATTTTAGAAGCTAAATTTTTCGTATGAATACTTTTAAGCATTCAAATAATATAATTTTTAATTTTCGCTTATTTTTCAGATAATATATTTTGTGTAATTAATACACATCTTTTCAATATAATTGTTAAGAAACATACAATCTATTTTAATTCTTATAAATAAATTATTAATTATCCAACAAGAAATGATCGTCAATTAGACGTCAAATTAATGTTGAAATCATCGTATTTATATTCGAATTATGATTTCGAATTATATTCAACATCAATTCGATGACTCAGTTTCTCGCTGGATAATATTTACTTTTTAAAAATAAAGTTTTTTAAAAAATAATGTTCTTTGTATGAATACTTTTTGCACTCATTGTATATGTAGCATAATTTACATAATTCTTAATCGTATGCAGCTGTACCAAATAAATATATAGCTCTTATTCTATAATTCTTAATGATAGTAGATCAATGTCATTACATTGTTTTACATATTTACAGATCTTACATATAACGATAGAATAAAATAACACAAAATATAATAATATCGACTGTTAAGAGTTAAAGAAAAGGGACCTATAAATTATATTAATTATATTAATTATATTATTAGTTTGATTTATATGTACATTTACTTGTATTATATGATTTTTGATGTAATGATTAATATTTTTATATGTTCAATATTATCTTTACATTTATTTTTAATTTGTATTTAGATTATGTTTTCATTATAATGCTTATTATTGTACTTACAAATAAATAGATTTATTGTATTCTTATATAAGTTAATTGTATTCTTATAGATGGATATAATATAGGATCGACTGTGTCATTTATTCATAATGTTATCGTTTGACACTAATAATGTTATGCTTCATATACGCGATATAATCACTATTGTAAAGCATTATTTAATAAACATTAATTAAAATAATACAATCTTTGAAGGAAAAGAAGCGATAATGTATGTGTAAGTCACTTTTTTAAATTCAATTTGAGGTCAACTTGCAGTCTACTGAAGTAAATATATTGGAAAAAACTTTTTGTCTCTCAAAATCATAATTAAGTGACGATTTACACTACTGTGACTTTCACTTTCACAATAATTATCTAATTGTATACAATTATGTATATTTGAAATATATTATTATTAACAGCATAATCTCCCGAAAAATAAAAAAGTACATAATGGTAGACATGTATTTGAAATATTTTTATTTGAAAAACAGTATGTGTAAGACAATTGTATTTTGTTGTATTTTGTATCTCAACGAAGCACATGAAAATATTTTGTCTCGTGGAAGTATATGAAGGTATTTTATATTTTGTAATTCAAATATTAAGATCAACAATCAATTTTATTATTTGAACAAAAAAAACACTTTAATCTTTCGATTTTAAATACGCAATATTTTCATGTGCCTCGTTTGAAATATAAAATACAAAGTACTTGCATAAATTGTATTTTAAATAAAAGTATTAAAATACATGCTCAGCTCTGGATATATCGTGCAAACATTCGTACGTTTGCATCACGCAACATCGTTGAAATGAGAAAGCAACACGATCATCTTCATTCAAATTTAAATGGCTACTACCGTGCGCGCGTCACGCAGAAATTTAAATGGACGCAGCAATGTAAAAATCAGGTGGTTGCCCATGGTGTAAGTCCATGGACGTACAATCAAGACAGATTTTCAATCGCAACGATGAAATATATCGATGATATATCATCGCAGAATCAAGAAATAATTGATATTGCAGCATGCACGTAAATTTCGAAAGAAATGCTCAAGGTTCGTCGAGTCACGTGTCATTTATCGAAAGTCAACATAAAAAAAAAACACGCGACGGGACTACTTTCTCGCGGAGGGATATCGGCGAGAGGTTCATCAACAAGTCGATATTCGAACGATTTAACCGAGTCAAACCGATCGTTCCTCTTTCGCGGACGGGAACAGGCACGACGTGACTTTTCGTGCCGATCCATCGAGGAAGCTCGCAAAGGTGAACGATTTTCCACGAGGTCTACCGTCGCGAAATTTTCGCGTAGGTAAGAAGGTTGCATGTAGGGCGCACACAAGCGTACATCTCGATTCGCGACGACCGAGGCAGTTCATTGGACGAAAACTCAAGGTGGAACGAGCGATTCGCGGCCGCGCACTCATACTGCTATGCGATCGCAAGTATCTACACGTTAATACGAGCAGCGGTTTTGTATTCGATGCAGAGTCGTCGCGATTCGTCGCGGAACCCGCTTCTTCCTCAAAAATTATATTCTTTATCTTTTATTCCCATCAATCGCAATCGCACTGATATGAATTTTTATTTAAAAAAAAAAAACAACTAATTGCTGCGATATAGAAATTAATAAGGAAAAATATTAATCAACGTTTAGTTTATTAAGAGCATCGAAATGTAGTGATTGCATTCGTTCGTTTTATAAATCATTTATTCACAAATGAAAAATATCTGTATAAAAAAATTGTCTAACAAAAGGATGTTGTATTCTTTATAAACGACTCATATATCTGTATTTATAGTCAGACCTTATATTTAGGATTTCCTTAAATTGATCTTTAGATGTTCAGTAGAGAATAAAATAATTCGTAGAGCGCAATCTAAATATAAATTTAAAGAAGCCTTAAATATAAGACCTAACTATGAATACGGGCATTAGATGGTTTAGGCTTTCTATTTCACGAGTCGTTGAATCGGCGGGTCGAGTGAAAGTTGGGGCAGCCGAGATGTCTTGATACGGACATGGTTACCGGGTACAGCAGGCAGCACTAGCAGGGCGCGGGCCACGACACGAGACGCGAGACGAACAGAGGGGGACTCGCGAGTTCGCACGCATATACCGGCAGCGTAGATTGGCGCACGGCCAACACAGCGAATTCGTTCGCCGGCTCCCAACAAGAACGCGTCGTCGCCGACATATACAGCGTGAGCGCCAACCTAACCGAGGGGGAACATACATATAGATATAACCGCTATTAATCCTACGGTCGTGGGCGAGTCGGTTCGTGAAAATGGCCGGGGAAAAGCGCAGCCAGGATCAGGACGAGATCTCACTCGCGAAGACGGTACTCATCGACATCGAAGGCACCACCACGAGCATCAGTTTCGTGAAGGTAAAAGGGCCACAAAGGCGAAGGAAACGGAGCGCGACAATGCGAATGTGTCTTCGCGAAATCAGACCGTGCCGGGGTCATTCTCGTATCGCTCCATTCCGGGGAGCGGCCTCTTCGCGTTATTTTCCCAACCGAGAGATTTATTTCGTGAATAGTGTCGGCGTTTCTCCTTAATGTGCTTGCGGTTCCTTTTTTTTCCCCTTTCCCATCCCTGGAAAGTCATCGAAGTCTCGGCGAGAAGCTCGGCCTCTTCGCTCTCGTCGCGGCGTATATACGCGATCGAATTCCACGGCGGGTTATTGTCCTCGCGTCGGGGCGGTGTGCCGGC